ATGCTTTTTGTGGGCATGGTTAAAAACGATGAGATGGGTATATTTAAACCATCTTAAACTGTAATGGCTTTCAGAAGGGTAATGACTTTTTAGGAATCATGAATGGGGGTTCTTGCTTGGCTGGCCCGAGTGAGCCAATCTCATGCAAGCAGACAGTGCTGAGGCTAGTTAGCCAACGATTAAATCCCACAGGGCCAAATGACTGGTGTCACCGTGTAAGTTGAGAAATTGTAATAAACTACATCTTTGCTATTTGTTATTGATTTTCTGTCTGAAGAATGAGAATTTTTAGAAAAATTTGAAGATGAAGTAGCAAGGCTAATTGTATGATAGTAAAATAGACATAGCAAGAGGAGAAGTCTGGAATGAATTAATGTTATAAACATGCACGAAGTGACAGGTGTTTGCCACTGTGCTAGGTGCTCAGTGGTACAAATAAGAAATACATGGGACCCACCCACAGGGAGTTCCCAACTCTTGTTGGGGAGACAGACAAAGGAGGCATTTCTATGACCATGGGATAGAACCACGGTGGTTCTTCCACATTCTTGATGCGTGACTCTGGATTGTCCCAGGCTCTGTGCAGGTTTCATCTGTAAAATGGGCATGACAATGACTGACTGTCAGTGAGTATTGCTAGAATTAAATAAACTAACATATGTAAAAGGACAAGAGTCAGTGATAGAAACTTAGCAGCTGCTCATTGTGTTTGTTTCTATACCTCTCTAGTTATTTCATGAATACCCAGGAACCTTATAAATTGTAGAGTCACCTTCCAGCAGATTTCTCCTTTGTGGAGGAGTAGCACATGGAATCCAGGGAGAATGCCTTGGTTGTGGCTCCCTGTATGTGTCAGCCATCTCACAAGTTTCCAAGGGCAAGGCCTGTAGAGAGTGCCATACAGTCATGACTAATTAAGCACCTAATGGATACTTTGGGTTTATGGTGAACGAGAAACTCCATCCCCCCCCCCCCCAAATGAACATTTTTTAATTTTCAAGCCAGAGATTATAAATTCATTTAAAATAAGGAAGGAAGGAACTGAGAAAGACTTATTTTGGAGGTTAGGAAAATGAAGCTTAGCAGAGAGTATTACCTGAGTCACCCAGCAAGTTAGTGACAGAGATAGGGTTCCAACCCAAAGACCCTAATATTCAGTGTCTCTGTAACACTTGCTTCGTAGTATTTGAAGAGCTATATCCTGAATTCTGTAATTCAGTTCGATTCAAATGCATACGAGACCCTGCCCCTGTTACCTCCACCAATTATACTGTACACCTGGCAATTGATCACTGTGCTTTATTCATGGTTACATAAATGGAGGCATCTAGGGTAGCCTCCTTTTTAGGTAGATGGTAAAGCTAAGGACAAGTGTCCCAGGTAAGTTCCCTGAAAGCAAACTTTGAGTCTTGTGTGAGACTTGTGGAGATTTGTGTGCAAGAATTTTATGGGGTAGCTGTCAGGATCAATACCTGCTAAGAAGTAAAGAGGATTGGGTAGAAGGAGAAGTTAACAATCCATGCAGTTCCAAAGGCTGAGCTAATCCTACAGGGAACCTGAGGCTGGGATGGCCCTGCAGAGCTGTCCAAATTGGTCAAGGGGGCCAGGCCTTTGTACTCTCAGAGTGACAAACCAGTCATTGAATGCAGGCCATCTCACAGAACATGAAGAGACTTTGGGCAAGATGGGTCTTTTAGCCAAAGACAAAATCCAGGGGGGTTTTCAGCTAAGAGCTAGAGCTGTCAGTTTCCAATGTTCCTAATAGCTGAAGGGCATCTGGATGGTGTGCCACATGAGCCATTGTATTCAGAGAAGTTAAATGGCTTAAGTTAGTCAAATGCCACGTTAGTGGCAGACTTGGGCTGGGATTCAGGAGTCCCAGTCCATAGCTCTATTCATTTCCCAAGAGAAGGTTTCATGCTGTATTTGAGGGGAATTGACCCAGTACATCCAGGAGCACCTCTTCTCTTTGAGAAGCTACAGGGGTCAGGGAAAGGAAGCCAAGGTAATGACAACAATGTTGGCATTTCTTGGCTTGTTCTCCAGCTGTCTAGTGACAGGCACCTTTCTTGGCACATAAAAGGAATGAATGAGAGATTTGGAGTGTGACTCTAAACCAGGGGTGGGCAAACTTTTTGACTCGAGAGCCACAATGGGTTCTTAAACTGGACTGGAGGGCTGGAACAAAAGCATGGATGGAGTGTTTGTGTGAACTAATATAAATTCAAAGTAAACATCATTACATAAAAGGGTACGGTCTTTTTCTTCAATAGTTTTATTCATTTCAAACAGGCCGGATCCGGCCCGCGGGCCGTAGTTTGCCCACAGCTACTCTAAACCCATGCAGTCAGATCTCTGTTTGAACATCTAAAAAGTCTCTTGGTGAGAGATTGTGCTGGCATCTCCTGAAGCATTGTACTAATGGAAAAGAGAATTTAGGTGAGGAGACAGGGAAGCAAAGGGCAGCAGTGGAGTGAAATATTGTTTTTTCTAGTCTCTATATTTTCATTTCAAAAAAGCTCTCCCCTAGATCACCTGGTCATGAAAAGAAGAAAAAAAGAAACTGCCAAATCTGAAGCATTAATAGTGTGAGCTGATTAAACTCTTTGCTTCAAAGAAGAGCTTTAAAAAACACATTTAAGCTTCCATAATCTCTTAAGAAGAGACAGTTTGTTTGGAGCTAAAAGAAAGCTTTTAGATATTCACTCTCCCATTTCACTCTAGACTCTAATTTTTCTTTGTCTCTTTAGTTATATTCTTTTATTTGCTATAACATTTAAAAAATACATAAAAATATAACCTCACATTTAGAAGAAGCCATCTTGATTTTTGAGCCATTTCCATTTCTGCATTCCACTGGGAATTCATGGAACATCCATACTCTAAGTTGGAAACTGTTCCATGGGTCTTGATGGGACAAATTTAAGAGACTTGTTTCTTCCTTGCAATATAAAATTCATTCAAATTTCAGTGTCTGTAATAAAGTTAGTGGACATAGGCCTGCTCTTTTGTTTACATGTTGCTTATGGCTGCTTTCACTCTATAATGGCAGACTAGAGTAATTACGATAGAGACCAGATGGCCTGAAAAACCTAAAATATTTCCTTTCTGGCCTTTTATAGAAAAAAGGTTTGCTGATCCCTGGTTAGTGGATGGGGCTTAGGGTTTGGAGTCCAACAGGCTTGTATTCAAATTCTGACTCTTCAACTTCTAAAAGTGTGACCTTGAGCAAATTTCTTAAACTGTCTATATGTCAGTGTGCTCACTTGAAAAATAGTAATAACAACATTTCACACTCTTGTGAAGATTGAAGGATATACTGTACTATAAAGCTCCTGGGGATAGTAAGTGCTGAAATAAAATTATTTATTAAAATTGTTAATGACAATTTCAACCAATTTGTGCTATAAATAACATTTGTGATCAAATAAATATGATGACATTGTGAACTGCCATATTCACTGCCAGAATGACTGCTTTGGGAATTATCAGTTTAAAAAGTATTTTCTATAATAGATTAATGAGGAAAGAGAAAGTTGTATTTGTGAGTAAGAATAGAAAAAACTGTGAGAGAACAGAGACAAGCTATTGCCAGAACCCCTCAAAATAATATAATAAATTACAGCTAAAATTGATTGGGTGCCTGCTATGGCATCTTGCTACATACTTCATATGCACCATCTCATCTGATCATTATTTCAGATCTATGAGGTAGCAATGTTGTCACCCAATTTTACAGACGAGGAGACTGAGGCTTGGAGAAGTTAAGCAGTTTAATCCAAGTCACATAGCCAGTAGGAAGTAGAGCCATGAGTTGAACCTGGAAGGGTCTGATGTCAAAGTTTCTGTCTTAACCACTATGCTTTTGGAAACATCTTCTGATAAGGGCCCCCAAGTTTCAGGGCCCACAACTGTTCCTGGTGGCTGGCACATTAGAGCATCACTCTGAGTTGAGCTCTGCAGATATGTCAAATTAGGAAAATGTGATTGCAACTACCTACATCCACTCTTCAGTCAGTTGCTCAAAGGCTTCCCATGACATCTACAACCAAGATTACTCCTTGAGAGTTGTCATATTAGGGGTGGTCCTGCAGGTAATATCTGTTACTTAGGTATGAAGGTATGGGTATGGCTGTGCTGGGAATGAACAAATGGGAATGTTGTTTGGCTGTGTGACTGGGATAAAATGTGATTAATAACTAAAATCTGTTTGGTCTTCAAGTATTATTTATTGACAGGAGAGTATGCTCACAAACTCTTTTACCAAAAACCAAACCCATATATAATAGTCTTAGTTTGCTAATAACATGTGTATATGTATGCATTTTAAAAAGGATGGGGAAGAAATATAACAGGATATTTAATAGTTGTCTGCCTTTACGTTGAGAGAATAATGGTGAATTTTATTATTATTATTTATCTATACTTGTTTCCAGAATTCTAAAACAATGTTTATTTAATTGAGCATGAATAAGAAACTATATATTATAAATGATATGAAACTATGTAGAAAAAACTTAAAAGTCTTGAAATTTTTAATGTTATTATTTCACTTTTGCATACTATCATACATGGATCAAATGTTATATGCACAGATATATGTTCATTTTAGTATTATTGAAATAGAGAAAAAATAGAAGGAATGTTCTGCATGGCATAACTACTTCAAAGCATATTTAGCCATGAAAGAAATGTTGTTACAAATGGAAAATGCTTATGTTATAATATTGAATACAAAATTGAGCATACAGAATGAGCGCAGTTCAGTGGAAACTCAACAATCTATTCATTAAAAGACAAAAAGAGAACATATTCAAGTCATAACTGTTGTGTATGTAATTGGTATGCTTATACATTTTTCTGCTTCTTTGCAATTTCAAAGTTCCTTTAATGAATGAATATTATTTGTATAATGGAAATAATTAGGCAATAAAAACTGTTGAAATTGGAAATCTGTGTTGCCTGGTGATTAGTCTTTGAAATGTCCCCTTCCTCCACAGCTTCCAGTTTTAACCTTCAACTCTGTTGCCTCCCATGGTTCGCTGGATATTTCCCAGGTCAGTCACAAGAAGCTTAACGATAGTGCAGAGAACACCAAACTGGAAAGCAGGACCTGTGGATTCTAGCCAGGACCATGCCATTAACCCACTGCATACTCTTGGGTGAGTCCCTTTTTCTTCAGAGCCTCAGGTTTTTAATCTATAAATGAGAGCTTAGGTTAGATCTCCTGGGATTGGGCCGAAAGATAGACAGAGGTCTCAGTGATAGTATCTGCTGTCTACAATCTTGACCTCTTCTCTCCAACCCAATTCAACATAGTTTTACTGTTATAATTTCCTTATGGAGTATATTGGAAAGTTTTGAGTGGAGAATGATTCCAATATTAAAGTTTCAAAGTCATTGGATTGGACCATTAGATTGTCAATGTCTAGTTATTAATTGACTATGGAGTGTAGCTGCTGTTTATATCTCTCTTTTAAAATTTTTGTTATTGTGGTAAAAACCATAACATGAACTGTATATTCTCAACACTATTTTAAGTGTACAGTACAGTATTGTTAACTTTGTGCGTATTGCTCTACAGATCTCTAAAACTTTGTCATCTTGCCTGACTGAAACTCTCTCCCTACATCCTCGCAACCACCATTCTTCTTTCGGTTCTAAGAGTCTGACTACTTTAGAAACCTCACAGAAGTATAATCATTCAGAATCTATCCTTCTGTGACTGCCTTATTTTACTTAGCATAATGTCCTCAAGGTTCATTCATGTTGTAGTATATGAGAATATTTCCTCTTTTAAAAATGTTGATTTTGAAGAAAGGAAGGGAGAGGGAGAGAGATAGAAACATCAATGATGAGAGAGAATCATTGATCGGCTGCCTCCTGCATGCCCCCTACTGGGGATCAAGCCTGCAACCCGGGTATGTGCCCTGACCTGGACTTGAATCATGACCTCCTGGTTCATGGGTCAATGCTCAACCACTGAGTCATACCAGCCAGGCTATTTTTCCTTCTTTTTTTTTTTTTTTAAGGCTGAGTAATATTTCAATAAATGCAAGAATATATTTTCTTTATCTACTCATCTGATGATGGACATTTAGATGTTTCCACCTCTTGTCTATATTATGAATAATACTGCAGTGAACAGTGTGCAAATATCTCTTCAGGATCCTGATTTCAGTTCTTTAGGAGAAATACCCAGAAGGGGTTGCTGATCATATGGTAGTCTTATTTTGAGAAAACTCCATTCTGTTTTTCATAGCAACTGTGTCACTTTACATTCCTCTCAAAAGGGCAGAGGGTTCCAATTTTTCTGCAACCTCGTCAGCACTTGTTCTTTTCTTTCCTTTTCATAATTTCATAATGGCTATCCAGCAAGCATGAAGTGATAGCTCATTGTGGTTTGATTTGCATTTCCCTGATGATCAGTGATGTTGAGTATCTTTTCATACACCTGTTGGCCATTTGTAAGCCTTTTTCTATTCAGGTCCTTTGCTCGGTTTTAAATTGGGTTACTTTATTTATTTATTTTTTTAGTTGTAGAATATCTACACTAATAAAAGAGAAACATGGTAATTGGCGTACGACCGCTACTCTTCCCATTGGCTAATCAGCGAGATATGTAAATTAACTGTCAGCCAAGATGGCGGCCGGCAGCCAGGCAGCTTGAAACTAACATGAGGCTTGCTTGCCT